GCCTTGGTAGTCTTATATTTAGTTTTATTTTGCCTTTCTCTGGTCACTTATGCCCTGGATCAGTTCATTAGCTTATTTCTTACTCATGGTTGTTGGGAGTATCTTTGAATCTTGTGCCTATTTATTTAAATTGGTTCTTGTTGATATGGAACTATAGGAGTTTTAATATTGAAATTTTATGGTTTGATTTTTGTTTATTTTTAGTGTTGAAGGTTGAACCCAGGGCTGTGTATAACTAGGCAAACTCCCACTACATCTTAAGCCCTCCAGATTAACATTTGTCAGCTCAATTGTTAAAGGAGCAAGATAGGGAAGGTTTATTGGTATGCATTCTTTCAGATGAAAAGGGCCTCAAGTTATTCATTCTGATAGTTCATAAAATACCCATGAGCACGAATTTCCTACACTGAGTACTGGGCATTTAGAGAGAGAATACTTAGTGCTAGTTCTAAGGAACTCATATTTAAATGGAAGAGGAGGGGAGGCAGAATTCTGCTGTTGTAATTTCAGCATTAACTCAGTTACTGAGTATTTACTGAGTGTCTATTGTAAGTAGGTATCAGAGTTACAGACAAACTAGACAGGTTTCCTGTTCTTAACATAGCTTGTTATCCATGGGAGAAGACATGGTACAAACACCCTGAGCTGGAGAATGGCCTTGATACTTAAGTGAATCAGAACAGCCCAGTGAGAACACATTTGGGTGGCTGCGTGACCTTTTACTCAGGGGTTAGATTTTGTATATTATTGTAAGAGCTATGGATTGGATTGGATTTTTAAATTTTTAAAATTATATTTAGTGTTGGGGGCATTGAGGAGATGTGGAGTCCATCTGACAGAAGATAATTTGCTTCCTTCCATTGTGTGTCTCCTTCCTTTGTGTGGGCCCCAGGGATCAAGCTGTGGTGTGATGGCAAGTAACTTTACCCACTAAGCCATCTTACCTTGCCTGCCACAGAACTTTGGTGGTGGTATGTGTGTGTGTGTGCGTTGTGTACTTGTACATGTCTGTGTATGAGTTTGTGCATGTGGTTACAGTGTCTGGATACCAGAACAGGACATTGGACTCCTTGCAGCTGCTTCATGCTGATGTGGGTGCTGGAAGCTGAATTGTGGTCCCTGCTACCTCTTCAGCTCTTAAACTTGGGATTTTATATTGAATGTACTGGGAAGCTATCCCGGGGTTTAAAACAGAGAGATGACATGATCTGCTTGCTCTTCATTTAGCTAATAAACACAGAAATGGCTATGTAGTTACAAAGGACTGAAAAAGGAAAGTATTGCAGTTATCCAAAGACAATGAAATCCTACTGGGCAAGAATTCATAAGGAGAGTCATGTCAGACCAGAGCTGTAGCTGACAAGATACTTACTAGGTAGGATGTTGGTTCTAACATTCTGCCCATCCCAACTGAAAGAGCTGAGGAAGGTGGCAGGCTTCGAACGGTCTTTCAACTTGAGCCAGAGAATGCAGGGTTAATCACAACACACTACTATTCACTTCTGCCAAAATTCTCTCTTCTGCAGAAATTCTTCCTCCTCTTTGGGAGAACACAGTAGCTTGCTAGAGAGATTGGTATTAAATGTAAGGGTCACTGGGCTGTTAGTGAGGATTTTGTGGAAATTGGCTAGCCGAGGCAGTACTGAGGCAAAGAAACCCATGAGGACCAGAAATGTGACAGCTTGATTGTTGTTGAACTGAGTAGTAGATACTGAAAGGTGTGGAGTAGGAAGCTAACAAGACCCTGCACATGTATCATGTTGAAAACAGTGCAGAAGTGTATAGATTGTAACAACCCAGGCATGGTGCTGGAAGGCTGCACTTAGTCGGGAGACAGGTCAGAGGATCCAGAATCTAAGGTCAAATGTCATCCTCATCTGCAAAGTGATGATGCAAAGTCTTAAAATATAAAAAGGGGTTGTATAGAACATAAGAAATTTTTGATTTTATCTCATTTCTACAACACCCCTAAAAGCAACATTGACATACTTCTGTTTCCCTGAGTCAGTCAGTGTGTGTGTGTGTGTGTGTCTGTCTGTCTGTCTGTCTCTCTCTCTCCTCTCTCTCCTTCCCTCCCTCCCTCCCTGTGTGTGTGTGTGTGTGTGTGTGTGTGTGTATTCAGATCTATTGCATATATACTTACCTAAGTAACACATTTAAAACTGGGTTACACTCTTGCTGACTTAGAGTGCTTTCAAGTACTGTGGACACGGTTCTACCTGTTGAGCTGATTGATGCTCAGCACTCCTTTATGTGTTTCGTAGGGAGCCCAGCCCCACCTGGCTGATGTACCTTGAGTTTCCTTGAGTGTTTTGGATCTCTCTGCTGTTAAAGCAGTAGTGAAAAGAGTAGCAAACACTGTCCTAGAGAACATGAGGGGATGACAGACATGGGATTTGTTTATGATGAGGCAAAAGCTATGGTCTGTTGAACCTCTGAGGGAGCCAGCCAATCCGGAAGGTTGAAAGTCTTCGTGCTTCTTGTAGACTGACCTTAGGACACTGGGTCTGCCAATCACAGTTTACTTGCAGTTGTTGACTGCCTCCAGACCACAGCCTCTCATGTTCAGGTGGAGTCACATTCTGGGGAAGCAGGAGGCTTTCTGGGTGGGAGTGAAAATGCACACATCCGGCTTAGTTTGGCTCCAGACTCTTGGATGAAGAGTAGTGAGGTTTTCCTTATTACTTATTATCAAGTACTGAAGGTGACTCTAAAAACAGTGTGGGTACTGATCTGGGTGGGACACTGGAGCTGGGGATGAAATTCAGTGACAGATGGTTGCCTGGCATGCAGAAGGCTCTAGGTTCAATTCCCAATACCATAAAACCAACAGCCAACAGGAAACTTGGGACCAGAGTGAGGTGGTGTAGGCTGGGAGGAGAAGGTTGACTGAGGGCTGATAATAGGGATCTTTTTTTTTTTTAATTGGATGTTTTACTTACATTTCCTATGTTGTCTCCTTACCCCATCCCCCACGCACCCAGGAACCCCCAATCCCCTCACCCCTCCTCCTTCTTCTCTGTGGATGTAACTTCTATCTACCCCCCCACTCCCACCTCCCCACCCTCAAAATTCCCACCCCCTGGGGCATCCAGCCTTCATGTGGTCAGGGTTCTCTTCTTCCACCTATGCCCAGCAGGGCCCTCCACTCTTACATATTCAACTGAAGCGCCGGATCCCTCCCTAAGTGCTCCCAGGCTGGTGGTTTGCTGATGTGGAAATCAGGAAGTGCATGCTGATAAGAGCCTGATATGGATAATAGGGATCTTGAGGCTGGGCAGCATCCCAGGAAGTCCTGCTGGGCTGCTGAGGCCAGTCCAGCTGGGAATCTCTGTACACTTGACGTAGATAGGTCATGTCGCCTGCACATCATTATGGGCTGTAGGAGGAACTTCATTGTAGTCACTCTGGTGATTCATAAGGTGATGTTTCTGACAGAGGAAGCAGGTGAATTGGAGAGGTTCATTGCTGCTTGAATTGGAGACAGGAGACGAGTCCGTCTGAGAGTTTGGGCTACAGATGGCCTTTTAGATTTCTTGTAACCTGCGTATCTGGGTTCTGGGGATAGAGTGATGCACAGATACATTCTCCTTCACACATGGAGTTTTCATCCTCGTACTAGAGACTGTAACCAACCTATGTTTAGTATTAGATACTGGTGTGAGAGCCACAATTGAGTCTGCGATGTGTCGGTGCTAGGGTTCGAATTTCACAGTGGCAGGCAAGACTCTGCCTGTGTGACAGATGTGATGATGAATGAACTTTACGGAGAGGAGACTGTCCGGTGGGTAATAAAAACAAGAGTACCGGGTGCTGCAGGTCTGTGGAATAGGAATCTGGTGGGCTTGAGGAATGGCGAAGGCCGGAATGAGTGCACCAGAGAACTGGCAGCAGATGGCGTTAGGAGCTGGAATTCATGTCACACATCAGACCTCTGTGCCTGCCGCTTGTGCTTTCTACAAGTTCATCAGGGCAGTCCTGCTGTTTTATTTTTAATTAATGTATATGTGTCTGTGGAGTAAAGACATGAGCCAGAGACGTCAGATCTCCTGGAGCTAGAGTTGTAGACTGTTGTGAGCCACCCAGCGAAGGTGCTGGGGATGGTACTCAGGTCCTCTGCAAGAGCGAGACATTCTCTGAGCTGCTGAGCCGTATCAAGCCCTTTTGTTTGCTTTTGAGTTGGGATCTCGTGTAATCAAGGCTGGCTTCATACTCAGGTTGTAGCTCAGGCTAGCCCTGAACTCTTGTTCCTTCCCTTTGTTTCCCCAGAGCTAGAATTACAGGTTTAAGCCACAGTGCATTTTCTGTTTGTTTTGAGACCGGATTTCACTTTGTAGCCATAGGTAGCCTGCAACTCTGTGTGTTACCTAGGGTGGCCTTGCATTTATACCAGTCCTGCTTCTGCCTCCTGTGTGCTGTGATTACAGGCTGAGCCACCATGCCTGGCATGGGTGTTTTGCCAGGATTAATTTGGTTGCTATACCAACAGCCTGTTGGTGGAGGTGTGAAGTGGAAGTAGGGATGGCAGAGGTTCCGAGACCAGATGGATGGAGAGGCCATTTCTGTTTCTAGGCAACATAGATAGTGGCGTGGACTGGACCATGACGTGGGAATGGTGAGGAGTGCACTTGGACAGCAGAGTAGAGACTAGAAGAATCAGTGGATGGGGCAGAACCCCAGAGTTTGGAGGGGATCATTGTCAGCTGTTGGGGAGCGGTGACTAAATGCAGCTTAGGTGTGACCTTAGCGAGGCAGTGGTCAGAGTGACTTACTCTCTGTGGTGGCTAAGGCCCAGGGTGGGACGGCATGCTGAGCTTAAGGCCACTTTCAGAGTAAGGCTTAATCTGGAGCCAGAGTTTGGTGTCACAACTGCATCCTGTGCTATTGAGCTTACTTGGAGTTCAGGGGTGAGAAGTGTGTGACTTTCCCAGGCTGGGAACTATAGTCAGTGAAAAATGGCAGAGAGGCCCTGATGCTTGACCCAGCTCTTTTCCCTACAGATGGCCCATTGTGTGACTTTGGTTCAGCTGTCCATTTCCTGTGACCATCTCATTGACAAGGACATCGGCTCCAAGTCTGACCCACTCTGCGTCCTTTTACAGGATGTGGGAGGGGCCTGGGCTGAGGTGAGATGGACCTTAAAGGTTAAGATCATGGAGAGAGGTAGCATTATGTTTGGGGTGGAAGGTTTGTCACTGATGCCTAGTGACCTGTCACCACAGCTTTGCAGGACTGAACGTGTTCGAAACTGCTCAAGCCCTGCATTCTCCAAGACTCTGCAGATACAATACCACTTTGAGACTGTCCAGAAGCTCCGCTTTGGAATCTATGACATAGACAACAAGACACCGGAGCTGGGGGACGATGACTTCCTAGGGGGAGCCGAATGCTCCCTGGGTCAGGTAAGTAGAGTCGGGGTTAATCAAGTGACTCCTGGAGCTCGGATGTCCCTGTCAAGCAGGACCCAACCCTGCCTGAGGTAGATGCTGACAGCTCTCCTACCTCACTTTCCCCAGATTGTGTCCAGCCAGACGCTGACTCTACCCTTGATGTTGAAGCCTGGGAAGCCTGCAGGGCGGGGAACCATTACAGTAAGGAATAAACCTCGGGCAGGGAAGCCATCCGTGTAATAAATAAGTCATGAGCTGATACATCCTTCTTTTCCTAGGTTTCAGCTCAGGAACTAAAGGACAATCGTGTAGTGACCATGGAGGTGGAAGCTAGAAACCTAGATAAGAAGGTGTGTCTGGAAGGAGACCCTGAGGATCCAAGAATTAAGGGGAAAGGGCTGGTGCTATGGCTGTCTTCCTTAGTCTTATAATTTGAGTCTCTTTGGTATCGGCAGGACTTTCTAGGAAAATCTGATCCATTCTTGGAGTTCTTCCGGCAAGGTGACGGGAAGTGGCACCTGGCATACAGAACTGAGGTGACTGCAAGCATTGGTTGGATTAGCAGAGGAGAGAAGCTGCAAGGGTTATGATGAACAAGTTTGGGGGATGAGAGAAAAAGACGGCTGGTGTGGGTGGAGATGATGGGAGCTCTTTGTGGACCAGACCAGATCTGTCTACTCTCCCCCTAGGTAGTCAAGAACAACCTGAACCCTACCTGGAAGCGCTTCTCCGTCTCTCTTCAGCATTTCTGCAGTGGGGACCTCAACACACCCATCCAGGTGAGGAGTTTACCTCCTTAGTAGATGGGTCAAGGGAAGGGGTCCTGGGAAAAGAGTCCTTGCCTGTCATGCATCTCCTTTATACATATACATGCCCTCTCTCAGGTACGCTGCTCAGACTATGACAGTGACGGGTCACATGATCTCATTGGTACCTTCCATACTACCTTGGCCCAACTGCAAGCAGTCCCGGTAAGTGGTGACTATTTACAGTGCTTCAGTGGCCTATGAGGCTGCCGCCCAGAGGAAAGTCTGGAGAACGCATGGCTTGGGTCCTCAGGTCCTCAGGTCCTCGGGTCCTCGGCTAATGTTGTGGTGGGTTTCTTTAATTCTTGTCCACCAGGCTGAGTTTGAATGTATCCACCCTGAGAAGCAGCAGAGAAAGAAAAGCTACAGGAACTCTGGAACTGTCTTTGTCAAGACTTGCCGGGTAAGATGGTGACCCATGTGACCCAGGCTCTGAGCTCTGGGCTCCGTGATGCTAGCTGGCATGTTAGCCCTGTCCTAACCTGGTCCCATCTGCAGGTGGAGACAGAGTATTCCTTCCTGGACTATGTGATGGGAGGCTGCCAGATCAACTTTACTGTAAGTAAGTGGGAGTGCCTTCCTAGGCTAGTGACAAGTCTTAGACTGAACAGCCTTCACCTCCATTCTCGCTCTCCTCTCAGGTGGGCATGGACTTCACTGGCTCCAATGGTGACCCATCCTCACCTGACTCCCTGCATTATCTGAGCCCTACAGGAGTCAACGAGTATCTGACGGCACTGTGGAGTGTGGGCAGCGTGGTTCAAGACTATGACTCGTGAGTCCCAGGTTCAGGCCACTCCACTCCTGTATACACTTCCACTTCTAGACTCCATCCTCCTGCTGCCTCTTTACAATTCATTGTCCTCCACAGAGACAAGCTGTTTCCAGCATTTGGATTTGGAGCCCAGGTACCCCCTGACTGGCAGGTAAGCGCTCTTCTTCCTTCCCTCTCTTCTCTTTTTAGTATCAGGATCCTAAGTCCAGAGTCTGTGGTAAATTTATTTATTACTTGGCACCCAGCTTCAGGGAGAGCCACAGGGCTCCATTCTTGAAAACATATATACCGCACACTTTGGCCCAAATAGCTCCTTTTGGATTCCTGGCATATGTCAGAATGTTGTGTTTTGATTTTGTATTTTGAGGCTTGAACCCATGGTCCTAAACATGCTAAATATGCACTCTGCTGAGCTACACATGGACCCTGAGAGTGCCCTTTATCTCGGCCCAGAAAGGGCTGGGGGTGTTCCTACACAGATGTCTCAGCAGTTGAATTAGCAGTTGCTGCTTTTCTAAACAACCAAAGTTCAGTTCCCAGCGCCCACATAGGAAGGTTAGCTACCCATAACTCCTGCTCTGAAGGGCACCCAGAACATTCTTCTGGTCTCTTTGGATATACACACACACAGACATCGACATAAATAAAACAATAAAACCTTAGCCAGACATGGTGATGCACACCTTTAATCCCAGCACTCAGGAGGCAGAGGCAGGCCAATATCTATGAATTTGAGGCCAGCCTGGTCTATGTAGTGAGTTCTAGGACAGCCAGAGCTTCATGAGATCCTGTCTCAAAATAACAAAGCAGACAGACAGACAGACCCAAATTCTTTGGTGAGTACAGTGACGCGTGTCTTTATCCCAACACTGGGGGAGCAGCAGCAAGTGGATCTTCCTTCAAGAGTTTAAGATCAGCCTGGTCTACAAAGACCATGTTTAGGATGTTGTGGGGGCAGAAGGGGTGGGGGGTGGGGCTTCAACAGGCTAAAAGTGGGGAATGTTGAAAAGAAGCTCATTTTCCCTTTTTGGGGGTTTTTTTAATAAAAAAATAAATAAAAAAATTGTGAACCAAAAGCAAAAAAAAAAAAATGTGCACTTCTCTGCCAGCCATGTTTGTCTCCCTCAGGCTAGGTCCTGGTCCCTGTGTGCTAACATGGGAGGGTTGCACCTCTGGTCC